TACTCACTACTAAATAAACGATCATTATAAACGTAACCTCTAAAACAAGTTAGCAGCTAGCATACCTCTGAATGTAGTGATGGCTGCAGACACCCGGGGCATTCTGCTCATCCTGACCGCAGACGCTTTAAAATCCACTTTTTGTCATTCTGTGAGCTTTCTACATTTTTTCATCTTTGTGTGATAATCAGTGTTATCATGTGTTATAGGGTTGGGCAGAATAATGTGGAATTATTCATCAGATAAACTTTTGCTGGTTATTATTTGGCATCACCAGCCTGCTGATGTAAAGACGTGTGTGGTACCGACAGCCTCAGAAAATCTATAGGTTCTGTCGAAAACTCATTCATCTTCATCATACGAGTCATGTCTGACATATTTGTGAACAAATTGTTGTTATTTATCTTGAAATAGAACCTAAATCCATACAGTACAAACTCTCTGCAGTAGTTTCCTCCATAGACATTTTACCCCCTGCCCTCCAGCAGAGATCGCTCCGCCTTTGAAACCACGTGACTGAAACCCAGCTATTGTATCATTGTGCAGATGGTGAGATGCTGTTCAATGCCAGTCTAACTGCCTGTTTGGGATGACTCTCAGCTACTAGATTTCAGCATATTATCTATAAAACCAACTGAACAAGAACCAGTTTGCTTAGCTGTTGCAGCCATCTTTAATTCACTGCAGAAGATATTTCATGTCTACCTTCTGAGTGTTTCAGAAAATYAGATATTTTGCTAACAAACACACACACTGGTACAGGCAGTGTTAGCGTTTGTGTGTCACCCAACTTTTACCTCAGGGATAATAATTGAGGGAAAAGCCTGAACCGTGAGGTGTTTATGGTGTTTTCCTGTGCATCTGTTTAGGAGGTAAAAACTCCTCGTGGCTCAGAATTTCTCCCCCTGCTGACCTTTTACAATGAACACAAAATGTTACATAAAACAGAAAGAAAGGAGACCTCAAAAGCACAATATTGCCTCTTTAATATACAGCCACTGCTGACATGAAGAGGTAAACGGGAGTAATAACTCTCACGGGATCGACTGGTTTTACAGCATTTCCAGTAATTGGAAACCCTTTTCTGCACCACATTTAGCTGGCCACATAATTTAGTGCCCACATTAGGAATGAGCGAGGAAATAGTTATTACGGCCYAAAAGAACATTTGCAGGTTAATCTTTAAATGTACACCAGTGGGAAGCTGTTGTGTTGGAAATGTTGTAAACATCCGTTTTAGCTGAATATGACTTTGAAATACAACTACACAACACTCAGTGTTTGTATTTATGACCAGAGGAATAAATTTAAATTACAYAACAAAAGAGCTTCAACTTTGAAAAGCCCATATTTTTTTCAAAAGATTTTGTAGATTTTTTGAAGTATTTTATTGATCTGCAATGAAATATTTTGTGTTTTGGAGTCTTGACCCTGYTTTTAGCTGCAGTCCCGCAGTCATTGTAGTCAATTCTGACAAATGACATTTACAACACCAAGCAACTACTTAAAGGTTTTTACAACTGTGTGTCCAAGAGCTAAAACATGTTGAGGTGTAAAACATCTGTAGCATTTTATGTGGAGCTGATAAAAAGCTGAGGACTCATCGTAATCCCATTAAAATCTTTATTTCTTTTGATTTTAGAAGCTGTAACGATCATCACAAAACCCATCCATATAAAACACGTTACAAATCATTATAATTTTATTTTCTTTGTAAATCAATTGAACAATATCTATTTAACAAAATGTACATGTTCATTCAGAAGGACTCACAGAATAGTGCTGAAAGAATTAAAAATATAATTTGAGTAATATTCTTAAATGTGTGCAAAATGTGTTTTTCTTGGTGATTTCAAGTTATTCACAGAGGTCTCTCTCATTATTCCAGCAGAGGTCAGTCATGTAGTAACATTACAGGTCAGTCATGTAGTAACATTACAAACAGCACATTTTCTTTTTATACACATAATAGAAAACACTTTGCAGAATTCAAAGATTTTGCAGAACTCTGATGTTCCCCAGATTTCCTTTGTATGAAGACGAAAATTTGACTAAATTTAAAACAAACCATTTTCTTAATCCTCATCAACTTACATAGTTGGAGTGTCCGAAGCAGAGCATTAAGTTCTGTACTCACAGTAAAATCAGTACTAAGCATTTAAAAGACATTAGAAGTAACAGCTGAAGCTCCAAGAGTTTGACCATTTTAATAACAGAGCAGACATTATAATGCAGACATTAGTCCCTGTTTAGTGTTAAATCTGTATTCAATCTTATGATAAATGTATTTGTCTTAAAAAACTAGTTCTTTCAGAGCGTGGCGTTGTTTGATTGGAGTGATGAGAGAGGCACATTAGGAATAAGTGACGTCTTGTTGATGGTGTGAGCCCATTCTGGGTACGTGTTCAGGTTGAACATGGCGACGCCCCAAGTGTTCATGGCGAGYGAGACGGATAAGATACCCAGGATGTTCATAACAAAACCAGTTTTCACCTGAGAACAAGAGACAGGAAGTGTGAATATGGTGGATCACAGTTAAAGTGTGGTATGTTGGGGAGTGAGGACGTTACCATGTCTTTAACCATGAGGTGTCCYGAGGCAAAYGCGATGGAGTTGGGTGGAGTGGACACTGGGAGCATGAAGGCATACGAGCATCCAACTGTGGCAGGGATCATGAAGTACAGAGGGTTCACCCAGACCCGAATTGCCTGCAAAGAAAATGACGGAAAGATTAAAATTCATTCGTTTTGACCTCTAGTGAAATAGAAAATAAAATCATCAGATATATTTACAATATGGCATCATATTGTATCTTGCATAAATGCAGGGGCAGCTGGAGAGGGGGTGGCATGGTGGGGGTCTCAAGACCCTCCTGAAAATGGCCATGCCCCTCCTCATGCACCCCCTTACTTTCCATGGTGGGACGTCTCCTGCACTTCCCGTGTCTGTACCCTCTGTACCCCACTTTATTTTCAGCTGTTACAACCGTTTAATCTAGTGTTAACATGGGGTAACTTGTTTTTCTGAGCCRWCTTTAAATGCACCAATAAATTGCGCAAGCTCACGGGAGACACGCTGATGAGTTTGTTGTTTATCTGATCCAAAGTCGCGGGGCGGTGCGAGCGCGTCAGCCATAGCCGCAATTTATTTATGACAAATGACCGAGTTGCACACATTTTTGGTGTTGATAAGGCCTCCTTAAATTGAGTTGACTTCAAATAATAGCTATAGATGTACATCTAATAATACTGAACATTGCATAAATCATGAAACTCTCAGCATTGTGCCTTTGATGTTGTAGGTGAGATTGATTGTTGAAATTTGTGTTTGATCTTATAGCTTGTATGGAGCCCATCCAAGTGACATTGGATTATAAAAGTTTAATGAATGGCCACGTGTCTTTGTGAGAGGTACAGACATTGTCTTATTATATAAGAATAARCTGTTTTTGCTTTTAACTGTTCAAAGGTTCCCTACTCTTTTTATTTATTTATTGTGTATGTTTAATCCAAAGAGTATAAATCCATGGTTCAATCTAAACAGTTTTCCTTTCATAYTAGTATTTATGAGATGATATACTGAATGCAAGTGTGTGTCAGAAAACTTTTGTTTTTACTGTGTTCCTGAACATGACTCATTCCACAGCAAAGGCACAGGGTGAGAGAGGAACCTGCTTTGACAGGTGATTTAAAAAAACGTTTGGACAAAGACAGCTCCAGTCATCACCTGTGTCTTATAGCTGCATCATATAATATATATATCTCCATGCCTAACTGTAAGTGATTGAAGTATTCCATTCATTCCTGTATTAAAATAAAAATAATAAATAAAACAATTCAAACTTGTCCATGTTAACAATTGACAGGCTCTGCATGGAAATGACTACAGTAACACCGGGGAGGCATTTTTTTCACTATTTGGTTCATCTCAGTGTGGCAAATAAKCTTCATCACAATTTTTGAAAAGGTTCATGTCTGTAGATGATATTTTGGTATGATAGCCCTTCCAGAGTGGTAGCTAAATCACAGTTATCAACTCATAAAGTTAAAAACCCATTAAAAATGTTTTTGACACAGGTGTGTAGCTGGTTTAAGTTCACAGACAAAGGTCAAAAGTTTATAATATTGTGAGTTTGGTGTCATTTTAAAGAAGACCCTGGGCTCTCATTTAAGCCCAGATTTGTGTCTCTGATCAACACAGAGGTCACTGGAACTCTTTAAATCACAAATAATACATTTTTCACAATTTTCACCCAAATTAAATACTTTCTTTTAGCTCAGTGAGATCCAGGTGTATCAGGGACATAATAGTCAATAAGTGCAATACTCACAGGACTCTAAGGATTCAAGAAATGTATAACATACCCATACTGTCTCTTTGTGGGAGATGGCTGTAAACCATATGTAAAAGTCACAGATTTAGGACCAGAATGGTAAATGGTTCTATGGTGTGTGTATTTGTGTCAGTGCCTAGTTAGTTAGTTATAAAAAAAGATAATCAGCAAAAGTAGGACTTTACACTTGCATAAACTTTAACAAAGGCCTATTTATCATGTTTATGACTTTTTCCATCCTGGGTTACTATTATGTATCTAGAAACATGGCAGCCAGCACAGTGGGCTCTGTGGATGACAATCTCCCTCCCTGAAGAACTCATAATAGTCCATCCACTAATAACTTCAATGATCCAGCTCAGGGTGGCATCATTCTGTGATCTGAAGATGATTTCTGAACTGTCATTCATTTTCATACCAGCATTAATTTAACTGACTGATGCCGCTCTGTCCAGTAAACATATTTCTCCCAGAAAGAAACATTTTGRCTTCTGACAGAGACCTGGGTATGTCTAATACTAAGACACGCAGCTGAACACTGAGTKCAAACTGGTAGAAGCCAGTTTGGAGTTAGTTCTGAGTTGGGTTCTGCTGAGGAACCTGTGAGCTTCACAGACCTGAGGATGGCCGACAACCATCTGAGGGGAAAAATGTAATTTTTGATTACTAAAAACAAGACGTTTTTGCTGACTGGTAAGGCTGTTTTGTGACAGAAAGCCAAGCTGTCTCAGTGAGTTTGTATCCGTAATGACCTCAGGGCAGATATGAATTAGCTGGACATCAGAATCTGGCACGCAAGCCTTCAAAGCCAATGAGACAATGCCTCCAACTTTGGTGAGCTGATGAATTTAAGGCATTATATGTGAAATGTTTGCAGAACAATCCTGGTTAAACAGCTGAGGCAAACTTGATATTATCCTTCTGACTTCCAGTAAGATCAAAATTACTAATAACAATCTGACCAAGATTTTAACRCCTTCTCTCCAAATTGACAATAACTTATAGGTTTGAACCTGTGTCTCTTGWCAATTGATTAATAGAAGAAAAATCTTTTGTTTGGGAAAACATGTTTCATTCTATAAAGGTTAAACATCCAGACCTTAACATAAAGTCTACAAGAACTTTCATCTTTAGCTGTTTTGAAACCTTATTGCTTCATCTTTCATGTTGTTATTTTTACTGTTTTATTCATGATTCAACAAAATTGATTCTTGATATATTTTTATAAGAAATTACCATAAAAGACAAATCTGKTTCCTCATCTTGAGTATTTTGGCCTGAGATAAGAATTCCCTGCATATCATTCAATCACTCACACTTTGGTAAATATGAGTCTGATTAAAAACAGTGAATAAATGTTGGTCAACAGCTTGGTAAATTGTAGTGCAAGACAGAAACAGTTTATCACCCTTTCTGTTTCTCTTAAACCAACACGCTACATAACCCTAAAAAAAATAGGTGTTGAATTTAACCTAATCGTTGCTAAATTTCATGCAGTCACAGCAAGAGTCATGTAAAAAAAATTAGAGGTATGTGGTTTTAAATGAGGCCCTGTGGTGGACTTGCGACCTGTCCAGGGTGTACCCCGCCCCTCGCACTGTGACTGCTGGATATGGGCACCAGTGACCCACACGACCCTGAAAAAGGAATAAGCGTGTACAGAAAATGGATGGATGGATGGATGGATGGTTTTAAATGAAAGAACCATTCAACTTTTCAACTCAAAAATAGCAGACAATAAAAGGAGCATCTGTTCAATGTGGGTGGAAATAATAACCTGGGCAGATAAAACTAGAAAGAACCATATAACTTTATATAGTTTGTTTGTACATGGAAATTTTTCAAGTTTTTTTTTTTTTTGTGAACAGACAGAATCAGAAAATGTAAGAAGTCCAGATAATGATTAAAAACAGCAGCAGTTAATGTCAAACAGCAACACCATCATGAGAAGCGAGTCATTTAAACCTCTAACATTTAGCAGAAGGTTCATTATTTACTACACTGGTTTCCATTGCTTCACCCCTCAGTCTGTTTCACCATGACTTTCATCTTATTAAGATGACAACACTATTCTGAAAATTGGGACAACGTGAAGTGTAACATCAGCCGGTTTCCATCAGTGTTAGCATTATATAAATCAACTTAAACAAAATGATCTATAAGAATGTGCCGCCGATGTGTGGTTGCTACAGTCAGTGCTGCAATGAATGAGCCTTTTTATCCAYAGAGAACATATATTTGTACTAACGRTTAAACATTTTWACATGTTTTTATTTTAAATCAGTCTTACCAGTTCAGCAATGACAGGTAGAAATATGATGATTGTGGCAGTGTTGCTGGCAAGCTCAGTGAAACAGGCAAGGAAAGCAGTGATCAGAATCACAGCTGCAGCAGGGGGAACTTCAGCCAAAGGCTGGAGGTGGCCTCCAATCCAGGAGGCGAGGCCAGATTCCTGGTGGATGCAGAGAGATCTGGGTTAGTGGTCAAAGATCAGATAAAACCATAATAAACCAGAGAAGAGAACTGGACCAAAATAAGCAATGAGCGACAGCAATGAGGCCACACAAGAAAGAAGACATGATTGATTTCATCCAGAGAAAGAAATAATAATAATAATAAAAAAGGAAGAAGTCTTAGAAATTCTTGTTTTAATATTAAAATCTAGAATTAAAGGGATTTGAGTGTTCTTGTGATCAACTGGTCCTGTGTTAACCAAGCAAACTGGTCTCAGAGGAGAGGTCATGAAGCAACACTACATCAAACAGGGTGAAATCAGTAGAACCCCCCTGAAGCCAGACCTGTTTGATTTGGCTCTTGGAGTTCAGCCTGGCTCAGCTAAATAAAAAAAAAAACTGGAAACCACCTGCATTTGAGCTCCCCATCTGTACGGGAGGACAAGTCAAGTTTGGGTGCCATGTGAGTTTTGGATGTTGGGTCCAGAAGCATGGGCAAATGCATTACAATTCCCAGCATCACAAACTGGCTGAGAAGATGTGTGAGGTTGAGTACGGTCAAATAAATACACATAAGGTTGTATCCTTAAAGTCGCACAACAAAAGCTGTGTAACTTCTGTCTATTATGACACCCTTTGTGTACGTTGCCCCCAGCCAGAACACKGTGCTGCAGACCTATGCAGCTCGCAGTGTGTGGTTGGTCAGAACTTAGTGGATGTGTTTGTTCATGTGGAACAGAGCAGTGCATCTCTCTGCATATCATTGGTCGGCTCCCTTATGTGTTGTTAAATTAMTGAGAAAAACAGGTTTGAGGAGCAGCTAGTCTGATCCTATTGAACATGCAAATGTGCAACTAATGTTCCCATCATCTTTCCATCTCTGGTTTTCTTCCTTTGACTACACACTCAATACAACACTGGTACTGGTACTGGATGTTATTTACTGTATATGCTTAGTAGGTGTGCGACAAYACATTTATCTGTATTGAATCATTCAATACACACTGTATCGAACAATACAGATTTTTAAAATTATTTTATCAACATGTCTTCTGAAGATGCTCAGTGTTGAAGGCTCAGTGGATCTGTGTTCGACTACTCCACCCAGGCTGCAATTGTCGAGCACAGATCCACTGAGAAACTTGCTGTTTCAGCAACATTAAATTTAAAAACTGTACTTTTGAGGTTAAACAAATGTTCACAACTAATTTAAATAAATTACAATTTAAGAAGAGCACAGACATTTGKCTTTTTGTATTAAAAATATAGAACTGTGACACTAAAGCATTGAACCGAATCAAATTGTGAATTTTCTGTACTGTTGCACCTCTGATTAGCTATGCACAGTGCTACAATGAGTGTGCCGTGGGAGGTGTGTCTTCAGCCTAACTATGAACAGAAAAAGTCGTCTCACTGAAATATAAACCAAAGCCACCTCCACTAACTTTACAGATAATGTCATAGAGATAACTCCAAACATATTTGAACTTCCCTGAAGTTTAGCTGGAGAGCCATCTTCTTTTACCTTTGTAAGAATAAAATCTGATCTATTTTATTGTTAGATGAACAGTAAAGCAGTGTTTCCCCTACCATTATACACCCCCCCTGCCAACGAGACGGCCCGCCCCYCTAAGAATTTCACGGCATGTAGTCATTTTTTTTATTTAAATAAGGCCAGATCAAGTCGAGAGCTATTTTTTTGCGTCCCTCCATATCCACCTCTCAACAAACTTGGGGAAAAAGACGGCGCAGAGCGAGGCTGAGCGCTGTGTGTGGTCCTCACAAAGATAGGAAGACATGTGTGTGATTAGACGCGCAGCTCTGCTTCTAATCACGTAGCACCGATGCGACAGCTTTGCAAGCTACTTTTTCTTTCTTTAAAAGAAAATGYGACAGGTGAAGCCACAGCATGGTTACTACCTTATCAATAATTACTGCCTTTTTTTCTTTCTCTGTGGGTGGGGGCTCAGCTTCACTCAGCTGTGAACACCTCCCGGGAACGCACACGTTTCCTGGACTATTTTCCACTGAGGATTACGTCGTATTTTATATTTATTATATTTCTAAAAGCACTTCGCAGCATTTCCCCCGGTGTGTTCACGTCATGAGTGAAATGAAACCATGACCTATCAGCTGACTGTTTTTAAAGCGAGGGGTAGCGAACATGTCCACCTGCAGCGCAGCTCCGACCAGCCCGGGACTTAATTTCATACGTGTCAACCCCTTCAGACGTTTAACGTGTATAATGAGTGTCAAAAATTTGTAATTTGCGCAAAATATAATCAGAATTAATCACGCGGGTGGGATGGAGGTTCACTGACCGCAGCTGCGCGGGGTGGGGAGGAGGAGGGTCTTTTAAAGACGTGTCTACATTTGACTTTTATTTTTTCTAAAATCACAGAGTTCTTTGAGTCAGCTTCAGATGTTTGTAGTTAATCATAATACCTTCTAAATTTAACCAGGTGTTTCAATGCCTTTAAATTACACAATCATTTTACTGGAGAAACTTGTCAGTTTGATTAAAAAAGGTAAAAAAAAAATTCTGTGCAGAGAAC